CTATGTTATGTTCTTTCAGAGAAAGCAGATGGGACTCATAAATTCAGTAGGCAGGAAGAGATGTCAACATTGTTCTTAATAAATGATGCATTTAATCTCTTAATATCATGTACACAATGCCCTCCCACCAGCTGGATCCCTTTAGATATCTAAACACCCGTACCTGTCACATGGGGACTCAGACTCCATGTCACATTCTCACATGGAATGCACATCTCCCTGATGTCCTTTGCCTGTCTTGGATCCACAGGTCATCTGTGGGTCTCCATCACCTCCTTTATAGAAAATAACAAGAACGCACTTCTAGAGGGAAACGGAAGGACCTTGTTGAGTGCTGACTTGTAATTGAAGTGAGAATCCTGTGGTTGGAAAGGATTGCTTTTTCACCAACATGCTAAATCCTAGATCACACAAAACTCCACAGAGGAGTCTCAATCTAGGGAAGAGATTTTATGCAGAGCAGGATGCTTGTGGAGTGTTAAAATGTCTCCCCCTTGCTCATTTGTTAGGTGGGCAGGGGAAAAGATACCAAGTGAATTGCAAAGTGAAGAAATATCATAGAGGAGCATCCCTAATAGGAGGAAGATGGACACATGCAGTTCCAGACATTAGGCCCTAAGCCAGATATAGCATCAATCAGGTGATAGGCTGGCCAGGATGCAAAGCTTGAATCTAATCATGAGGAAACACCACACCAAAACAGAGCCAGATTCTGTGCTTTTTATGAAAGTCAGGAGGATTGGCTGCGTTCTTCGACTGTTTCAGTGTCCTAAAAGAGGAAGAAAAGTTGTAGAAATGTTCAAGATTAAAGGACTCTAAAGGGACGTGACAAGCACATTTAATATTTATATTACAGATATTGGTTTGTAAGTATGTCTGTATGTATGGTATTTGCATATATAAAATATGTGATCCTAAATTTTGTTCTGGAGAGGAAAAATACAAAGAAGAACATTATTGGTTTCACAAACAAAACTAGCAATGTGGACCATCAATTGTACAAAAGTATTGTACAAATTTCACTTGATTGCATGGACAACTGTGCTATATTGCAGTAAAAGAAAATCTTTATTCTTAACAACTACACACCAGGAGGAGAAAGGGCCATGCTGTATGCAACCCACTGTCACAAAGTCTGGAGAAAACTTATGTGTGTGGAGGGAAAAGGTGTGAGAGAGTGAGCATGTACATGAGCAGCAGCACATCCACGGGGTGGTAAACAGAGTTCTAGACACAGGCTGTCCTTCAGGGGCCCACGTGTTGGGGACTTGCTCTCCAATGTGGTAGCACTTAGAGGTGGTGAGCATTTTATGAGCTGGGGCCCTAAGGAGTCTGTTATTGTGAAAGTCTTATTATCAAGAGCAAGACTGGCTCCTCCCCAAGCTTGGGCTTCCTGTCACACCATCTGATGGCAAGTGTTCCTGCTATTGTGTTGTCACCTGTCTACCCTTAGGCCTTCATCAGAGCCAAGCCAACACTGGCACCATGCCCTCGAATCTCTAGAACTATGAGCCTATTTCTGGACAAAGTATCCCGCCTCGGGTAGTTCACAGCAGGAACAGCAAACCAACTAATACAATATGTGATTTTTTTGTATTATTCACATTCTTGCAATTTTTCATTAAGATTGAAATTCTTTGCAAATTCAAAATTTGTAACTCTGAAAACAACATGAAAATAAAGAAACCATTAAAAAAATTAAGAAAAAATAGAATTTCCACAAATAACAGGGAAAGGATCTGAATGGATATCTCTCCACAGAGGATATACAGATAGACAACAAGCACATGAAAAAAACCACCAACAGCACTAGACATGAGGGAAATGTTAACCAAACGAATGAGATCCATCAGGACAGCTATTGTCAAAAGCAAATAAATAAAACAAGTGTTGATGAAGATATGTAGAAGTTAGAAGTATAGTGCAAAGTTTGTAAAGAAGATATAATAAAATGGGGCGGCCACTGTGGAAAACAGTGTGGCGTTTCCTCAAAAAAGAAAAAATAGCATTACTATATGATCCAACACTTCCACTTATTTTCATACACCTAAAAGAATGGAAAACAGAGTCTCAAAGAAATGTCTACACTCAGCTGACACAATGGCTCAACTAGCTAATCCTCTGTCAACAAGTGCCAGCATCTCATATGGATGCTGGTTCATGTCTTGACTGTTCTACTTCCCATCCAGTCACCTGCTTATGACCTAGGAAGGCCTAGGAGGATAGCTTCAGATCAGCTCAGCTCTGGCCATTGCAGCCATTTGGGAAGTGAGCCAGCAGATGGAAGACCTTCCTCTGTCTCTTTCCCTGTAAATCTGCCTTTCCAATAAAAATAAATAAAATCTTAAAGTATTTTTTTAAAGAAATGTCTGCACTCGTGCTCACAGCAGCATCACTCACAATAGCCAAGAGACAGAAGTAACCTAAGAATCCACCAGTGGATGAACAGGTGCATAAAATGCAGTACAAATACACTGCATCTGTACACTGAGTGTTATTCAACCATTAAAAAAGAAAAATTCTGAAACACACTGAAACAGATGAAAGTTGAAGACTTTATGCCAAGTGAAATTAGCCAGTCACAGAAGAACAGATATAGTACCATTCCACAGTTATGAGACACTTGTCATAGACAAGTACGTAGAGACGTAAAGAAAGGTGGGGCCCGTGGTTTGGGAGGAAGAGGAGAAGGGGAGTTACAATTTAATGAGTAGAAAATCACAGTTAGGGAAGATGAGAAAAATCTGGAGTGATGTTAACATGACAATGTGAACTTATTTAACATTACTGAACCGTGGACTCACCACTGGCTAAGACAGCAAATCTCATGTGTATTTTAGTACCTTACCATAATAATTTTTTATGATTAAAACAATAAATTTGGGCCCAGAGCAGCAGCCTAGTGGCTAAAGTCTTCACCTTGCAGACACCGGAATCCCATATGGGTGCCAGTTTATATCCCAGCTGCCCCACTTCCCTTCCAGCTCCCTGCTTGTAACCTGGGGAAGCAGTCAAGAATGGCCCAAAGCCTTGGGATTCTGCACCCACATGGGAGACTCAGAGCAAGCTCCTGGCTGTGAATCAGCTCAGCTCTGAGCATTGTGGCCACTTAGGGAGCAGACCAGTGGATAAAGATCCTTGTCTCTCTTTCTTTCTAATAAAAGTAAAATAAATCTTTAAATATATATATATACTTTGTGCTATTTTATTATGTCTTTATCACAGTTTTTCTAAAGCAAGGTAAGTGATAATTTTGTGCTACCTATATGTCATAGTTGAAAACACAACAATCTTTACAGCTAATCTAACTTCTGCAGACAAGTGCTGGCATAATAGAGCTACCCAAGTTTTCTGAGGGGAGACATTAATCATGCCACATGTCTCCCAAGTATCATGGTCACATTGTGAAGGACAGATTGAGCATGGTAAGAAGCAGGAACCCAGTTCTTGCTCTCTGGGAAAGACCTGCCACATGATTTGCAAGGCCCTGGTTCATGCATTTCTAAGAATTTCTAAGTGATGACAGTAGAGCATTAAACAAAGCATACATGCCTGTACAGCCCCACAGATTGGACACCCAGCAGACTGACCCTGACTGAGCTTCTCCTACAGCAAAGAGGAACCATGTCAAAGAAACCCAGGGCTGTGCAAGAGTCAAGCACAGTTACGCCTCTCTTTTGCTCGTGCTTCATCTTTCTTTTCTTTTTTGGATGTTGGAAGCAAAAGGTAAAACAAATGGTTAAACACTGACCAGCCCATCACTGTACCCACCGGTAAGGCTCCATTGAATTGTTCAATGTCTGCCTGGGAAATTATCTCTTCCTCTTCTTGTTGCAATGGCTCAGTTTCCTTGTCTACAGCAGCTGGAAATAAAACCAGACAGTAAAACAAAATCAATTTCTGACTGCTAGCAGCCCAGGAATAACAAATCATCAAAAACAACCATCAAGAGTAATTATTTTAAGGAGGTTGTAAAATTCTAACACTACTTTCATATGAATGTGTACATAAGAGTATGCAAACAAGAAATAAATGTTATTTTTATTGACTATTTTTGTTAAAACTGATTCCTGTATATTTTTTCTTATGATTTTTGTTTTATTACTTTTGTGATTTTATTAGTTCCTTAAAAGTTGCCATATACTTTATCAAATATGATTTCAGAACTTAACAGTGCTTAATGTGCAAGATAATTATTGAGATCCTTAAAGGATTATCTTAAAAATGATATCAGAGTTCAGATAACATCAGATGGAAAAAAAAACGAAAGGAAAGGGAAAAAAGGGAGATATTATGCAAAAGCAATAATTAAATCAATCTGTTACATCGTAAAATAGATTTCCGAGGAGCCGTCAAAAGAGCTAGAGTGAATACTCGGCTATGATTCAGGCACTGATTAAGGTGCCTGCATCCCACGTGTCAGGACCTGGATTCAGTTCTCAGCTCCGGCTCGAGCTGCCTCTTAATGTAGACCCTTGAGGCAGCAGTGACACTCAAATGCTTGGGTTCCTGCTACCCTTGTGGCAAACCTGAATTGAGTTCCGGCTCCCAGCTTCAGCCTAGAAGGAGCAACCAGCAACCAGCAAATGAGAGCTCTGTTTCAATCTCTTCTCTCTCCCTGTGTTTGTGTATCTGTCTCTTCTTTTTTCTGTAACTATGCCTTTCAAACAAAAATAAATCTTGAAAAAGAAATAATGTTTTACCTGATCATATTTATGGAAAATGTCAGTTATATTAGATGAAAAATAAGCAAATTATTTAATATGGTTTGCATGATCCTAGTTAAGTTTATGTATGCTACATATATACATACACAATTGTTTCTATAGAGAAGAAAATTCTGCAAAAATATATTTCAAACCATGATTATATCTGGGAAATAAGTTGGTAACTGAGAAAAGAGGAAAAGGGAGACTTTCTCCCTCTATATTCTGTATTACTTTCACTATTTGAATGTTAATTCATTATCATCATATAATTTATTTTAAAAACTTTAAAACACTAAGATGAACACTGACACTCAAGAATTCTCTGAATTTCAGCCTACTGGTCTCCAAATCAACCTATGTCCCAATTGCATTCAGAGAACTTGGACTTGGAATCACACTGACCTGCAGAGAAGTTTAAAATCTGCAGCCCTATGCAGTCCTTTTATTTCTCATCTTAAACAGACTTGAACCAAACCCTTAGCATTGTAGAAAACTAACATTACTTCTTTATAATAATTGACACCCCAAAAAGATCACATGCAAGCAGGTTAGAGACACAAAACTTCAAAATTAAAACTCTTCTTCTGGGGGAGGGGAAGGGAGAAATCCCTATACCTACAAAACTGTATCATGGAAATAATAACAATTTTTAAAAAGAGAGGGATAAGGCCTGACACGATGGTTCAGCAGCTATGTCCTCGCCTTGCAAGTGCCGTGATTCCCTATGGGCACCAGTTTGTGTTCCGGTTGATCCACTTCCCATCCAGCTCCCTGCTTGTGGCCTGGGAAAGCAGTACAGTATGGCCTAAGGCCTTGGGACCCTGCACCCACGTGGGAGATCTGGAAGAGACTCCAGTCTCCTGGCTTTGGATCAGCTCAGCTCTGGGTCACTAGGAGAGTTAACTAGCCAATGGAAGACCTTTTTCTCTATCTTTCCTTTTTCTCTGTGGATCTGATCTGCTTTTCCAATAGGGAAGAATGGATATTTAAACAAAAGTGACGGAGGGATTGAAGAGTGGGCAAGCAGCTGGATAGGTGCGCCGGTGGGAAAAACAGACACACACACACACACACACACACACACACACACACACAGAGCAGGAAGAAAAAACTCTCCTGATAGAAACCTCAGTCCTCAAGACTCATTGAGCCAATCACTAATTGCATAGAAATTAGGCAACTCCTCCATAATTCATACATCCAAAATATTATGGTCGCCTAATGATAACTCATTACAGGAAAACAACATCAGAAAACAACCTCAGTACTCAAAGTTCACCTGCAGGCCAGTGAAATACTCTTTCACTATCAACTTCCTGCTTTTTAGTTCTCACTCGATAACTGCAGGGTCAGCAATTTTTGAATTCTTTGTAACTTTTCCTTTAATTACATGTTTCTTCAATGCTTCAATTTTGAGATTTTATCAACTTGACAGCAGTATTTTTGTCCCTCACTTTGTATTCAATGAATTCTTAAAGGAGAATTTCCTCTTAGTTTCCTTTTGCAGTCCAAGAAATCTGCACAACAGCTTGACTCACTGTATTAAGCATGAGTTGGGTGTGGCATAAAAATCTTCACAAATATGTCCTTCAGCATTTGAGTTCCAGCTCAACAGTGGAGAAAGACACACCTGAATATATATCATGCTAACCCATATTTGATTTGTTCTGTGGGCTTCCACCTCCATATAGTATCACAGCAAAAACTGTCTTTACAATGCAGACTAGAAAAAAATATAACAATAAAATAAACTTCTTCATGAATCCCTTTAACAAATGCAGCCATAAAACCATGCACTGAATGCCAATTCCCACCAGAGAAGCATTTTATAGGGATTAACTCACTCAATTCTCATACAACCCTATGAGGTGTGTGCTAGAACTATGCCCACTTTACAAATGGGGGGAAGGAAAACATGGAAAAGCTAAAGAAAAAGCCAGCACGCTACACAAGCAGTCCTAGCCACTAGAGTCTTCGGCCCCCACTCTTAACCCTGTGCTATCCTGCCTCCTTCTTTGTTGTCATTTCACTGAAAACAACTTTCTATACCCTCACTACCATAAAAAAAAAATCACACACGGACAATTATCTAAAACTACTTTCTCCCCTTGAAGTAAGTTTTATGGGTGGGAGTGATGCTAAGTTCTTGCTATACTTCCAACTTCTCCAACAGTGCCAAGCATCAAGTGTGCTTCCAATAAACATGCTGAAGGAACAAAGGGGAGATTTATGGTTTTCCCAAGAGGACATTAACCAAATGGTGAGCAAACATGGCCAAAATTGTTTTAAGAATTCTCATAATCGGGTGCAAGTCACCAAGTGTCCACTTCTTACCTTTCTCTTCTATATACTTCTCTATTATTCTTGTAAGGCTCGGGGTGACTTTTTTGCAGAGTTCTTCTAGGAACGTCAGATCGTTTTCCCGTATTTTACCTTGTTTCTCCAGATAGTCCAAAAACTTCAGAGAGTTCTGCAAGAGAATCCAGGGAGCCACTTTTACCTGACTAGTGATTATACATTCAAATATTAAGCAATGATTAAATAAATCACCTGTGTGGCCACTAAGAACCAAGCTTTGCAGTCATGTTTGAAGTGTATTTCATGCACTGCGGGGGTTCAGTAGTTTAAGAGAAGAGCTCTATCTAAACGAATCTCTTTGTGATCCTATTAATACCAGACACCCTATATAGATACGATAGGTAACTCTACACACACCAAGTACAGCATTTGCTAAATAGCAATGTCAAAACAACCCAATGCAGGAGAAACTATCATATTCTTCATTTTGAAGATGAAATGACTGAAGGACAGAAAGGTTTAATCATTTTCCCAAGGTCACAAAGTCTATAATTGGCTGAGTCAATACACTCTGATGCCAACATCAATCATCGAGCTACACCACCTCTTTCTCACAACTGTCAGTGAAGAACTGATTATAAGCTCCAAGAAAATTTGGCTTGAGAAACTTTTACATTTGGTATTTTGAAAGAAAATATCTCAAAGCACTCCTGGATAGGGAAGAAATCACAAACCAGCTAAGATTCTTCGAAATCTGAATGATCTATGGGGTGGAAGTTACCATAAACTTTCCAGAGATCAGGACCAGTCAATGTACTGATTTGCCTGTGAAAAACATATATGTAAACAAAATTATCATGGAGCCCACAGAAAAGAATGCTGAGAAAGTGAGCATCCAATGCCACCATCAGGCTGCCGGCATAGGCTGGGGAGGAAGTCTCCACCCATCACACTGAACAGTTTAAAGGCTGCAAGGGGCCAGAGCCTTCTATGAAGCTAGGAAGAAGATATGGGTACAAACACCAACCCATACCAAGTGGGAGCTAGATCTCGTTTGAAATGAGAAAGGATCATACACATCACATGAGCATGTGGTCAAGGGTTGGGATCAAGGATATCAATGGCATGAACAGATCTGTTGCTAAATAGAAGTCTTAGGCGGTAGGCTGGAAGAAGAAATGGATTAGAGAAGAAATGATCAAGATCTATCCACAGCAGTGGTGCTGCAATGGTGCTGGACTGGAGAGGCGCTGCTGAAGTCTGTTCTGGGGAATTGGGAGGATGAAGTGGAAATGTGTGAAGAAATGAGGTAAGAGTCAAAGATGACTTAAGTAGTGATATCATTCATTACTATCATCCATCTCTCCCCACCACAAGCTCCACACAAACCACACATGGGAGGGCATTCCTGGACTGCTTTGTGAAAGATGATGAGCCGCTATGGCTGGAACACAGCATTCCAGGAAGAGAACCAAGGGCAGAAAATGCTGAGAATCTGAAAATTGGCTATGAGATGGCTCTTGGGGATTTTAGCAAGCTGAGTTTCATCTGCTTTAGATTGAAGTCAAACTGGAATGTGTTGAAATGGAACTAAGAGTTGAGTTAATGAAAGGAGTGTGTGTGAACTATTACTGCAATAAATTGAGCAGAAAGGGGGAGATGGAGCAGTAACAGAAGGAAAAGGAAGAGTTAAAGAAAATCTGTGTGTGTGTGTGTGTGTGTGTGTGTGTGTGTGTGTGTGTGTGTGTGTGTTCAACCAACCATCCAAGATGCAAACAAGTCAGAGAAACCCTAAATTTTTAAGTTTCAGTCTTGACTGCTTTCTATCTCATCTGATGAAAAAAAGAGAAACCTGAGCTGGAATTGGGGATGAGCTGGCTGGGCCGGACTACAGCATCCACTGGCAAACGCTGAGGCAAGGCAGGCCATGCCAGACCAGGCTGCGGCATCCAACCAAAAACGTAAGACCCAAGAGGGAGAGGGCAAAGCCAGTAGGAGGGCAGCATGGTGTTCCCCAGCTGTATCACCATTCCCACTATAGAACATGAACTGGGATGGGGGCAGATCAGGCCTGACAGCTACAACACCTATTGGGTCTCATGTGACCTGGACCAGGGAAAAGTCAAGCTGGGTTGACTGTTCTTACTGATGCAAGCGTAAGTCAGAGTGGGTGTGGGTTGATTGGGGTCTGCTACAGCATCAGCTGGCAGAGGCTGGCTGGCACTGGGGAGCTAATTCTGTCAAGCCAAATTGCAGAACCATCTAGAGAGTGCATGATCCAGGATTGGGCCCAGCAGGGAAACAGTGGGCACCTCCCTCTTGGGTTGCCACTCTGTCTGGTGAGCATGAGAACCAGGAATGGGGCAGGCATGAGAGAGTAGTATCCATCAGCAGGTGTGTGGGCTGGATAGTGGGCCTGCTTGGGTTAAACTAGGCTTCAATGCCCATTGACACACAGGAGAGCTGAATGGGATGTGGAACAGACTGGACCAGTCTGCTGTACATACTGGCAAGCATAGGAACCAGGGCAGGAAGTGGGCTTGGTGGGGGGTAATGAGGGTCATTCTGATTAGGCTGCAGCTCCTACATGGTTTACATGGCCAAGTGTGTGGTGGACAGGATCTGGATAGGTTCCAACACCCATTGGTTTGTGTAGAAGACAGAGCTGGAAACAGAACTGATCCAGCAATTGCAACCACTAGCATATGCATAGGCTGATTGGGGCAATGGTCTGTGTTGGACCCTGTACTAGCAAGCACACATAAGAATCTGGTCTGGGATCACCTCTGACAAAGTTTCATTGGGGATCCCCCAATCGAATTGCTGGACTCAGAACCCCAACCATGAAAAGAATTGCAGGTTCCATGGTGTGACCATGGAGTGCATGTGTCAAAGCCGAGCCTCCTCAGAGGCTCAGACAGAGCAGTGGACAGCATATCCAGGTGCACATGGAAGATGTGGTAGTACATTGGAGCCTGCAGAGGACACCTGGTACCAGAACAGAGAACAAAACAAATTAATCAACTAGCCCAGCCAAGTGTTGTCAGTGAAAATCTGGGCAAGTGGAGATGCTAAGGTGGACCAAACCAGTCAGTGGATTCTAGAGAGACTTCATCATGCTTAGAATAGCGAGATTAGCAGTAATTCAGAACAGTTGAACTGTTGAAACCACTTGAGGAGTGCCCTAGGAGCATGCCCCACATCAGAGACGCTTAGATGGTTGGGAGGTTGAATGGGACTTCTCCCTTTGTCTCTTACTTTCCCCCAGATAGAGGAAGGAGAAAAGAGAATGTGAAAACAATGATCTTACACACTTTTCTGTAGCCATTGTCTCTTTGAGCCCTAATCAACTATGTAAAGATCATAAAAAAAAAAGTCTCGTAAAAGAAAGAAAGAGGGAGAGAGAAACTTTTCAAGAAATTCCAGAGACAGGGAAGAGGAACTAAAAGGAGTACACATGCTGCCCTTGCAGGCTGGGCCAGCTAGGGCTGGGCCAGGTAATGGACACTGGACAGAGGAGAGGTGGAGAAAGACTCACTGGAGTGCATCAGTGAGGCAGAGGTCAGAAGGTGCCCTCCTCACATAAAGTGCACAAGGCGTTACCACGGTGACGTGCAAATGAGCTTTGTACCTCGAAACAGAAACTCATACATCTTGATAACAACCCAACAGAATGAAGAAACAAGGCTAAGAGTGATTCCGGAAGCAATGGTCGAAATTCACATCACTTCATGAAGTTTCTTAGACGCTTAGAAAATAACCACACACACACACTCAAGTTACACAGAGCCTGTGCACTACTGCAGTTTAGGTTAAGCATTAGCAGGAAACATCTGCCAGCTCTTACTTTGCTAAAAAGCCAGCAGATTTGGGTGTGGCTTCCTTTACCTCCTGCATGCTGTTCTGAGAGTGGATTTGCTGCTAGCTGGTCAGGCATCTGACGATGTGTGTGAGCTTACATGGGTCAGCCTGCTATCAAAGGGGTATCCCTACCCAGCCTGCAAGAGACTTCCAGGAAAGACTGGAAATTTGAGTGCTTTCCCTCTTGACTAAAACACATTTCCTCCAGGGCACAGTGCAATAGCCAACTGGCTAAATCTTTGCCTTATATGCGCCAGAATCCCATATGGGCACTAGATCTTATTCTGGCAGCTTCATTTCCCTTCCAAATCCCTGTGTCTGTGGCCTGGCATGGCAGTTGAGGACTGCCTAAATCCTTGGGACATTACACCCACACAGGAGTCCTACAGGGAGTTCCGGGCTCCTTCCTGGCTTTGGATCAGCTCAACTCCAGTCATTGCGGCCACTTGAAGAATGAACCAGTGAATGGAAGATCTATCTGTCTCTCCTTCTCTCTGTAAATCTGATTTTCCAGTAAAAAATAAATAACTCTTTAAACAAGCAGCAAAGAAGCGGGCGCTTTCTCCAAAGGCTAGGAAGCAACTGATAGGTTGCTTTTTTTTTTTTTTTTCCTGAGGTCCCATGACAGGAAACATTGCCTGATTAAGCCAGGTGGGAAACTCCCCTAGGCTTGAGATCATCTTTTATTTTCTGTGAAAGGCTGGCCTAATAGCAGAGCTCAGAGGAAACCAGCCCAGACCAATCTTGGGCATGTGTTGCAGAGCCAAAACTGGGATATGATCCTGTGATCATCAGGGGTCCAAGAAGGAAGTGCAGCTTTCCTGTATTTGGCCTTATCTATGCCACAGCTAAGCCCAGGAACTTCCCCCCTTCCATTGTGGTACTGAGTGAGAAAAACCTAGACAGTGTTTTGGCTGCTTGGGCAGGGCATAAGTCAGATCATTTCACTCAGGGGTGGGCCATAAAAGGTAGGCCTGTGAAATCATGTGGTCTGGCTCTGTTAAGGAAACCACAGGCTACGGAACTCAAAATTCATGAACTCATCTGCAATAGGTTAGTTTTGAAGTTGATAATTTTGTGTTGCCCACTAGTGATGTTATACATAACCAGATGCCCTTGGCAGAAATAAATATCATCATATGTAAAATAGTAAGTAAAAATTTAAAAGATGATGGAATAGGGAGGCAAACGTCTGGGGGCACTTCTGACCCTGAACTTGATTCTGTAGCCACAGATGCCTAGGAGCTGCAAAAGCAAAAGAGAAGGACTCATTGCCAGACTTTTCCTAGAGGAAAATGTGCAGTGCTGAGT